CCATAATTTAGCTAACATGCCTTGTTGTCTAAGATCATTCAGCTTCTCTTTTCGTTCTCAAGTGGCCAACAAGTACACATGACTGAAAGCCATTAATTCTCTGTAGAGAGATAATGGCAGCCAGGGAGGCAATAATATTGCCATATATACAGGAAAAACCAAATGTGTGTCCAATTGCCATTCATAGATTAGCCTTGTCATCACTCTATTTAACTAGATTGCATATGAAGTCATTCTGATAAATGCTCAATATTCTCAAGTTTGAATTTAAGATGTTTGAGATATAAGAAAACATCTTTAAAGCATCGTGTATGATTCGATTTTCATCAAAAATTTAATTAACGAGAGTGACTGAATTCTTGTAAAATATATGTATAATTCATACCGTTAACTCATTTTACTTTTTAGTATCGTCTAATATTGTAGAACTAACTTTACCGAACTAGTCGTCCAGTTTAAGATTAAAAAATAAAAATAAAATCTAAGCCATAAGCTTTCCAAGAGTTGAAGCAGCATTACCCTCCCCTCAAGATTCAGTTGTGGATCCATTATTAGGGCCGGAAGTGGGGGCATAGATTCACCTTTGGGGAACTTATATGTGACACAAGAAAGTGATCCAAATTAATTAATATTTACACACATAAAATTAGTTATTAATGACAATACCACTGTTATTGCTGGACAAGCTGTGACCTGCTAAACTTAAACAAATGATCAAAGAAAAGAGAAAAATATAAATGGGGTTTCTCTAATTCTAGTGTCACTACCTTTTGTTTCGTTCTATTTTGAAATATGCTCCTTTTCAACTTGCTAGTTCTTTATCTCGTTCCCTAGTCATAATAATATGATTAATGTATTGATAATATAGAACTGTTATTCCTACTCATAAATTTGATACACTTATTTGATAAATAATCGTAACATTTAATTTAAGTCAACCTAATGATTAATATGAAGTTCACTAAGATCATGAGAGAATTTGTTATAATCACTTGAGATTTATAAAACATTGAGCGTTGGATTAACTTAAATTAAATGTCATGATTATCTATCAAATTTATGAGTGGGAGGGAACGCTTCCATTGATAAAATTGATGTTCACAAACAAGATAGCTCTCAATGTTTCATTTATATTTCACCGTTGGTCTCAATGAACAGATTTTGCCAAGTTTCTTGACAAAAGTTGTTGAAATGACGGTTATGTCCCTCTTGTCAAATTTCTTGAGCAACATTAATGGATGTTTGAAGACCAATATACTCGCTAGAGAATCAGGTTAATTTCTACATGCACTAAAGGTTGGAAACCAACACTGCAATTACCTGAATTTGAAAGGATAATAATTAATTTACTTTTCCTTTTCCGGTAAACATTAGAAATTGGCTCATGATATGCTCATTATTGTACTTTTTTCCTCGAAAATATAACATGTAAAAGTTATATGCTCTAATTAATTTCTTGGGTAAAGAGCTTATCTTATACTATTATTTAATTCTAGAACCAGTATTCCCATTATGTTCATGTGTCTATATTCATATAAATTGAAAATGTAAGATAACTTAGAAAATACAGATTGAGCAAAAGTATATGTTCTTC